TCGATGACAACCGATTAAAATGTTAAGATTGGCGAGACTTAAAGCTCAGAATGTGTTGAGGATCAAGCGAGTCGCGAGCTGTTTGAATCATGGCCCATCGGCCCGCAGTCCGTCAAAAAGACGCAACGATTTCCACCCCGCCCCTTAATTCAGTGTCAAGAATTTGTCCGAATGGAGTGATTAAGCATGCGGTAAATGAGCGGATAAATAATGCTTCTGGTGATGATATTGGTTAACCGAATTGGACAGGTGTCACGATAATAACTGAAACCGGTGATAAAATCGCAGCAACGAACGGCTGCGGTGCATACAATCAAGTGATCATCGGCGCATAAATGTAGGTTAGCTATTACAACTCATAAATATTGTCCCTATGAACGTCAATTGCTCTCGCGTTACTGACTCTTATGAAAAGTTCGAGGATGAAGCTCAAATATCAGGCGAACAAAGTTCCTTCCTCTTGTCTAAGCACCCGTAATAGTACATTCTGATTGCAATGTGGAACGGGCAAGCAAAAATCACAATCATTGACAGCAAAAGGTCATTAAAAGACTCAAAAACTAGGTGCAATATTTAGTGTTCTGGCTCTTTCAATTTCCCTGCTATTCTCGTGACTGATTAATGACTCTGCAGGTCCTCGTTCCCACTAGAATAGACTGCATTAGCCATACGTTAAGGCCTTATGCAGCATGGCAGCCTCGGCAGTTCCCGGAGGCCACAACAAGTGGTTTCATGGTAGATGTAACTCTGAACCGAAATGGTGGTTAAAAGAATATACAAATGTCAACGACTTAGCGCTCAAATTGCTGGGGACAAATAAATTCAATATTGAAGAATTGACATAAGAAAATGCAGTTTTTTAAGTGGTGAGTGTTCCTAATATCGACGGATTTTCACAAGTTATTGGGTCTGTTTATTCAATGGCGTCTTATGTTTGGTTTGTGGAAAGTATTCTAGGTTTAGTGATAGCAAAAAATAACTTATGGTGGTTAGTATTTGCCATTTCTATTTTATTTTTCGGGATTTTATAGACATATCAACACTGACGCTGATGGTCTGGACGTTCTTATATGCCATATTTTTGTGAAAGCGTACTTTACAGCTAGCCCTCTCTGGTGACCATCCGATTGTCTGCCACTTGCAGCTGGCATCGTACGTTGTTGTTGTTGATCTCCAGCTTTCAGCACTGCCGCATCAGTGGGCGCGAAATGGGGAGTGGGGTAGTCAAAACTTGGCGCGACAAAGTCCATTAAGATCTTGAAGTGATTCATGAACCTCTGGTCTGGCTGTGCAACTGTTTGCGGGACTCGAGGGAAAACTCCAAGACACAAAATGAAAAGTATGTCCAGTAACGCGATTGGTGAACGGTCATGGCTGTCGCCTTTTCAAGTAAAAACCGCAGATATTTTCAGTTTAATGCTGGTTATTTTAGAGAAATTCAGGTGTATACTTTGAACTTCGTATTTGTTTACATGCCTGTACTTTCAGAGGCCAAACGAAAATACATGTACGGAGTTAAGTTTGGGTGCATCGCCGCACAAGTTAGGGGTGCTTAACTAGGTTTTGGTTTATGAAAAAAACTGTCTCGAAATTATCATCTGATTAATGCTGGAGATGGCAAGGGTGTGCAAAAGAGCCTGTACACC